AGACCTAGGGGCTGCGGCATTATCACTAATATAAAATCCATTGGTGATTTGGCGGGATTTGAACCCGGGACCTCAGGCACCGAAGTCCCGCGCTCTAATCACTAGAACAGCTCGCTCTCCCATTTTTTGTGACTTAGCAATACTTAATATCGCTTCTCGGCCTTTTGGTTAAAATCAAAGAGTAGAAACTATGTTAGAAAAAGTAGGAAGTAAATTATATTTCCCTTAAGTGTGTCCATTATGTTGGATGGGGATGCAACAATAGAACGCATCTGACCTAGAAACGAATTATTTACAAGTGGAGTACTAGAGAGGGTACATTGAAACATTGTAACTGACCAAAACTACTCTGTTACTCTATTTAACCTTTGGGACCTTCAAATATCATCGACAATGATATTTCCGGTTACGAAACATCGTCGAGAAAAACCGCACGATAATAATACAACACAACACAGCTACTACCCCACTACGTAGTCCTACACTCGTCATATAGGCTACGCCCTTATTATAGACTAACGTAATACACACCTTGGGCCGCGAACCACATTATTATTACTGACCGGTCCGTCTGGTGGTCAACTTAGGAATTCCTTCTGAAGAATTAAGTAACGGAGGCAGCATTCAGGTGGTGTGGTCAGTGTTATATCATCTGGTAACACAGGTCCCGTGTCCTTGCAGCTTTCGGCCTTCGTCCTACTGGAGAAAGTGTCTTCTCGTAGTCGTTCGGTTGTTGATTGCTACATTTCGACAGGACCAAACCTGTCTCAAGAAAATACAGTACCTCAACATGTATAAGCTTGATAGTAGTTATAGTGTGGTAAAATTAGTTTCGTTATTGAGTTACAGGCCTTATTAAATGATGTATGCTCGTATGGTTAATGCAACAGCTGATACAACCAAAACAACAAACAGCTGATAGTACGAACAGCTGATTTTGTTTGGTCAGTAACAAAGCTACACAGATCATCTCACTCCATTCTACATCCTATGAAAGTGAAAAACAGGTGAACCCAAATAGCGAGGGTATCGACGATTATACTTTTTATCAATTTACGCTTCTCTATAAAGGTTAAATTATATCAACGTCCCGGCTGAAAGTTAGGGGATGTACTTTGCTTGCGTTACAAAATAATTTTCTTATTGAGGTTCTTGTGTGTGATGGACTTAATAAGCTTTTTGAAAACAATGTTTGACGCGGAAATTAAAATGTTTTTATTCAGGAGCATTGTGTACTTAATTTTCGTATAACTTATTTTATTATTTTCAAATATATCAGGTGAGCTGTATATGTATTTTACTATCTACTTTAGTGTACCATGTTAATGAATTTGTATCCCTAAAATCTACAGATTAAGATTCTGTACATCCACTATGTTTTGTAAATATATTCACGATTTGCATTGTAGTATTTTATGACGATATGTTGCCTTATAGCTTGATTATAATGGGTGTCCCCCCAAAAAAACTTAACAACTTTGTCTTAGTGTAAATATTTTATTAACAGGCTTACACAAATTTTAATTAGCACACATATATAATTTTTTTCTGGATATAAGTGTGATTTAAAAATTCAACATGGCTTCCATTGTTGGCAAAATACATTCAATACGGTTGTCTAACCCTGACCACACTCCATGTCGCATTTCATTGGTGATGTTGTTGAAGGTGGCATTGACTCTCAATCTCAATTCGAACATTGGGGGCTTTCGACTCGGTCTTGTTTTTTCAGCTTGGACTTTGACAAAACCCCAGACGAATGTTTTTGTTTCAACAAACTGAGTTTGTTCATTCAACAAACTGAGCTTTTTCTTGCACGTTCATGGTGTGATGTTTGACTTATTGCAGGTTATGTTTTGAAGTTTAAAGCTTTGAGTGACAACATTGATACAGCTTATACATGCAAATGATGTGGAGAAAACTGTATGAGTTCCTCTATCATATGGTAATTTTTAAAATGATCTATGGGTGCCTAAATATGGCTTCAAATCACACCCTATAGCTTAAATGGCATCCTTGATCAATAATGAAACTTCAGTAAGGTGTATTTGTTAAATAAAATATTAGAGACATACATACTTATTTCTATTTTGTAATTTCTTTTACCTATAAGTTACAATGTCTTGTTTTTTAAATCGTTTTGAACTATAAATTTAACACCTCCAGTAAAGAGTAAATGGTTTGCGAAACAATAAGTGAAAGTGCAAGTTTGTTGTCGCATTGTTTTCCTTGTAAAGATCGTAAACAAGAAAATGATTCTGAAAGGCGGGCCAATGGGTTTGGCGGGCCTTTTTTCATTGTTACACAACCGTCTCTGTTTGGTAACTTGTATTTGGTTGCAACTAAAAATTACTCAATCTGAAATTTTGAACATCGAACCACAAGCCTTAGTTTTTGCAAACTCTAGACAGTAAATCCAAATAAACATTATCAAATAAGAGTAAATGCAAACAAACTAAACATTATTTTCATCCACAATAGGTTTACTATAACATCATTACTACCAAGATTAGTGATGTTTTTGATAATTTCTACATATAAGACACTGCGGGCTTTAAAGTACTAATGTTTGTGACTGAAATTTAAAGCTTCCATTACAAATTAAATTATTAATGTTCAGTATGCGTTTTAGTCTGTCCTTGTTTACTTTCTCGTAAATATAGACATCAAAAATAGATTTGACAACTCTTCTTAAACTGACTATACAAACGGGAATGATCTGTCTTATATTAAGCTTTTTATCATTTTAAGACTAAACGATCCTTTTAGTGTAGGGGTCCCAGCCAATGGTCGTAAATCCAGGGGCCATATTTTACACAACCTAACCAAACAGGGCCAGAGGTGGCCGGTCTCCGTTTCCCCTTTTTTTATCGGCTACCATTTCATTGTTCAGCCTCCTTAAAGCAGAAAATTAATGTAAAAAAACAATTAATACACACAAAGATTTAAGGATGTTTATAAAAAATCAGTTTGACATTATCCAACAATGTCAAATGTTAAGCTAGTTTTGATACTTTTCATTTGACTACTTTTTAAGATATGTACAAGAGGTATAACGTATACTCAGTTAAAAATAACAAAATAAATTAATCTTATGAATTAATATTTATTATATAGGGTAACGACACGTCATTAAGACAAGTACTGTAGAAAGCATTGCTCAAGCAACAACTGGGGGACTTTTACATTTTCCCTAACCCACAAACACACAACTCAAGTAAAAGTAAATTAATTAATTCCAGATTTTATACTTCATGACTCAGAAAAACTATAAAGCACTATGAATAAATGGTACATATACGGGGCGTCCCGTTAGTGACGTAACATTCAGGAATAGGTTTGTAAAACGAAAACGAAGGATAACATTTTCCAAAAATGCGTTTTTAGCAACATGTGCAATCTTTTGGGGTTTTTAATGTTTGCTCAAAAACTATATTAGATATCTTTATGAAACTTAGTATACACTTTTATCAAGTCACAATCTATCTCAGAAAATAATCAATAATGAATATTTCTTTGTTTCAAAATGACGGTAATTTTAGCTTTTATAACTTAAATTACTAAAATACGGCTGATAAAAAATCAAGAACATTTTTATTTAGCATTTGCATTTCCCTATGAAACGACACCAAGTTTGAGAGACTGAATAACTTAGAAATCACAATTTTCGCAAGCAGATATGTTTAACAGGTTAAGTGTAAGAGAGGGCCATGTGGCCCTAACTTTGCCTGACTAAATAAATCATTTTCATTTTCATTTTCATTTTCATTTTTTGACGATTTGACTACTGAAGATTTGTAAATGGGGTTTCAACCCCGAAACTATAGTCATCACGACAACATATAGGTTTGATTGACGACAGGTTAGTAACCTCATTTTATGTAAATTAATCAATCCTGGAGGCAAATATTTATTGCACAAAATGGGGCGAATCCTTACTGCATGGCCTTGCTTTGCCTGACCTACACAAGTAAAATTTTACTTAATAAAAGTGTATGTTAAATTTCATAAATCTTAAATAATTATTTAGGCATAAACACAACAAAATAGTGGATATTTCGCTAACGAGGATTTTTTTGAAAAATGTTATTCTTGATTTTCATTTTACAAACCTTTTCCTGAATTGTTTGTTCTTATTTACGGGACACCCTGTAAACATCTGACCTCAGTGTGAAAGACAACCCTAGTAGTTCGTAACCTGGTATATTAACCAGCTTCCCTCTACAAGTAAATCCCGAATTGGACGTTCAAATTCAGATGGTTGAGTACCCCAAAAATACAAGAAGTCTGTTCACGCTTCACAACCAAAAGTTTTACCTGTTCTGTGACAGCTTATTTGGTACTTGTCTATAACTCTGATAACTTATCAAGCATGAAGAATACACAGATTCTCTATAAATGCACACTGGACTGAGTGTTTCTTGCCCAAGACCCTACATACAAAGCGAAATCAGTTGTTATAGTGAATAGTCAATGTTGTATTGATTGTCTGATCTTAAATTCGAAATAATATTACTGTTACAATTGGGAATCATCTGAAGTCAGACTTGTGTTTAAAGGAAGACTTTGCACTAATAACCATCTTTTGAGGGATTTCACTGATTCCACTTTTAGGAATCAGCAAGAGATTCTTTCCACGATTGGGATAGACTCCCATATCTGTTGAAAGAAACAACCGAATGAAAATATTTGATTATTTGATTGTTTTATTCGATACATCGTTTGGTTAGTTAGGTTAGGTTAACCTTACCTAACCAACCAAACGATATATAGATCGATATTTTCATTCGGATGTTTGTACCAACAAATACGGAAGTCTACCCCAAGATTGTTACATTAAAATAGTGGACAATAGTATGATTAATTAAAATGTATTACAGCATAAGTCAACTTGTTATTATTATTATTATTATTATTTTGCAACTGTAAACTAGCAAGTTTTTCAGTTCAATTTAATAGGTGGATTTGGATAGAATAATAAAACGCTATTATTACAAATATTTTCATATGTACATAATGTATAAAACTTATAAATACAAAGTGTGTAAATAAGTACAAAATACAACCTTGGTAGCGAACAGTCTGAATGGTGAGCAAATAACATCACTTTTGAGCAGCTGGAGCACTTTAGATAGAATTGTCAACTCTCTGCATTACTTTCCATAGTAATTTAACCTTGACTCATGATTGCAGTTGATTTTCCGTACAAATATCTCAATGTCAAAACAACCCCGAGCAGGGGAATCTTACTGTAACCAGTTTCAATGTCCAGCAATAATCGATTAAGTTAAAATTGCAAACCGTTTCATTCCCATGACTTTTTATCCAGACAAATAGGGTGAAAAGTTATGGTAGAATTTCCTCTAAATCTTAACACAAGTATGAAGGTTAGTAACACACACGGCATGTCGATCACAGAAGTAGTAATACACCGTCATTTGCCTCTCAATTCCCCGTGGTGGAACTGATTGTTGTGTTTAATGGGTTGTTAAAATCATTCAATTGGGTTTCTCTTATTGCTCTGTGGCGATTTTCTAATTAATTCATTTTTCAATTGTTGCCGAAGTTGTGTTGGCAGCACATCGCATCTTTACAGTATGGACTATATAACATATGTACAATATTTACCAAATTAACAACCGCGTGAAAGTACTAACATGGGGGGAAATTAAGTTTTTGTACTTAGACTCAAATAAATCTTCGAGTTTTCATTTGAATAATAAAAATGAACTAATCTGATTGAGCGTTTAGGTTAAATATATTAACAATCTATATGAGCACAAGTAGAATTGCAGTAGTCTAAAAGCAATAAATACTTTTAAGAGCAGCTAAAAGCGTTATGCTATTCATGTAACCTTACGTCTTAGCAGAAACATTTCAATTTTATGAACTTGAATGAACTACAAGTACTTTCGTTGAGAGAATGTTGCACATTCAACCGAATTTTGTGGACGATCATATCATGATTTATTTTATTGTTATACAGGTTGTTTAGTATAAAATATCTGGGTTTTAATGCTTTATACTTTATACAAATTTAATTAGATATGAGTAGTAGGCAAATAGTCATTGTTTGATCTGACACATTGCGTTTGTACCTTCAGAGGTTGGTTAAAGTGTAAATGTGTGCCTATACTACCAGGGCACCGCTCGGTGTGAAGGAACATGTAATGCAACAACTACTCCCAAGTCCCTGGTCGACATTCTGGGAGAACTATTTTGCAATTGTCATGCGCGCCTTGTTACAACGGGAAAACAAAACTTTGAGTTCAATTATATACCTACAAGTTAAATTAAAACTCAAATTTTACCAGTATAAAGCATTGAAACACCGATTTAAAAAAACACCCTGTACTTCATGGAGTTGTCAATCACAAATTTCAATGGCATTACAGTTATAGAATGACACAGTCCTGGAAAGTCATCCGCCCCATCGCAATATTGAAGTAGTTGTCATCTGTCACAGGAAGCCCCAGTCTTCCTTGATCATGTCAGCTCCCTTCTCCCCGATCATGATGGTCGGCGCGTTGGGGTTACCACTGACGATCTCCGGCATGATGGAGGCATCAATCACCCGGAGCCCCTTGACGCCGTGGACCCTAAGTCTCGGGTCGACGACGGCGTCTGGGTCATTGGAGGGTCCCATCTTGCAGGTGCCCGTAGGGTGGTATATGGTGAACGTGAAGTGCCTCAGGGCGCACTCCCAGTACTCGTCAGAGTCGAACGCGTGTTTGCGACACCCCGGCATCTTGGTCAGCAGCGGCCTGGAGCCGTACTTCTGGAAGGCGCGGGTCGCAGACACGTTCAGCGCTATCCGGATACCTTCTATCAGAGTGTCTACGTCTTCTCGATGTGTGAAGTAGTTGGGTTCTATCACCGGATGTATCATAGGGTTTCTACTTTTCAATTTGACGTAGCCGCTGCTCTTCGGCCTCAGTAGGAGCGGCAGGATGGTCCACGTCTCTGCGTCTACCAGAGGTTTGTACATGGTGTTGTAGACGCGGTCGCGTAGATTGAGGATGCGACGGATCTGCTCGCCGCCGTCGGAGTTGATGGAGCTCGGCGCGAAGTGGAACTGTATGTCCGGCCACAGACCCGAACTGTCCGCGTACTTGGTGTTGACGAACGCGAGGCCTTCCACACCACCGAGAGACGTCATCGGACCTCGCTCGTTGATGATGTAGTCCAACGCGACGGACAGAGTCTGATATCGGGACTTCTTGAAGGTGACGGGGTCGTCGATGAGGAAGGTGAGACCTCCCAGTCCGATGTGGTCCTGGAGGTGATGTCCCACCTTGAGGTCGCGGACTACTGGGATGTCGTGTTGTGCCAGGTCATCAGCAGGTCCTACTCCAGACAACATCAGTATCTGCGGCGACCCTATCGCCCCCGACGACAGAATCACCTCCTTCCTCGCCTTCACCGTGTGTACACGTCCCTCTCGCACGAAGCGCACACCGGTCGCCATCGGCTCGTCGTCACGAGCGTTGTCGAACATCACCTGAGTGGCCTGGCTGTGCATGCTGATGTGAAGGTTCTTCCTCAACCGTATCGGCCTGAGGAACGCCTTGGAAGTGCTGCAGCGAGAACCTCTTCTGATGGTACCTTGGGCGATCATGAATCCCGTCTGTTCTTCTCCGTTGATATCTCGGTTCAGATAGCCCAGCTCTTCTCCGGCCTTGACGAACGCTACGGCTAATGGAGTTCTCCAAGGAGACTCTTGCACGGTGAGATAACCTCCTCGACTGTGGTACGGCGTCTTAGTCAGGTAAGGGTTACGGTTGTCTTCAGACTTCTTGAAGTACGGAAGAACGTCGTCGTAGCTCCAGCCGGGGTTGCCTAGAGCGGCCCATTGGTCGTAGTCTCTCTTGTTCCCTCGGACGTAGATCATGGCGTTGAGAACGCTGGAGCCGCCCAGTACCTTGCCTCTGGGCCAGAAGCAGCGGTCGCCGTTCATAGCGAGACAGTAGGATGTCTCGGGGGGCGGAGGCGAGGTCCGGTACTGCCAGTCCAGGTTGGTCAGTTGTAGATACCCAGCCAGGGAAGGTACGTCGGATATCTCAGTTTCGTCTCCCCCGGCCTCTATCAGCAACACAGTCCAGTTGCGTACCTCGGACAGACGGTTGGCGACCACCGCGCCCGCAGACCCAGCGCCGACCACGATGAAGTCGTACTCCGGCAGCACCTGCAATTTAATTCTCCGTTAATCATCGTTACAGATTACGAGGGTATGAATTTAAAACTCGACAATGTTATTTTATGATTAGTAATGTTTTGTTCATAATGTACGATGAGAAATGTAGGCTACGGTAAACTAGGATAGGAAGCGATGTTATATACACTTGGGATCGTGACCGGCATTCTTACAACTGCGAGGTTCCTACTCTGTGATTGACCCATGAGAATTGCTTCGATTGTCTGCGATTATACTTGTAACCACTACCTATCGGAGCTTGTCTTCATCTCTATCAAAGAATTGAAATGTTAGAGGTTGTAGAATGGTTTATAGGCTACTATGTTTTATGATGTGTGATTTTAGGATTTGATTGATCTTTTTGATTGTATTCTCTTATGTAATGACTGTCTACACCAAAAGGCTATTGACTAAATTTATAATTTATAAATATTAATTCAATTAAGATATAATATTACTAATAATATTCTGTATAATATTTCAACTCAAATATTCCTGCTATGAAGGCTCAATATAGTCGAAGTACAATAAGTACATCCGGTATTTTAAAAAAATAGTAAAAAAAAAAATAGTACAAAGTTGTTTGCGTCCTTTTTAAAATGGTTAAATTAATATCAAACCAATTTAAAACTGTGGTCACTATACAAACATAATTTGGTATCCAAGCGATTATTACAATACAGATTTTTCTTCAAATTAATGCGACATTCGTTGGCTATATATATTTTTTACGAAATACATGGTCAAAAGGTTGATAAATATATAAAAAAATATAATCAGGCCTACTATTTATTACGTTATTACCGTAAGAGCGAGAAATAAAGTTCTGTTTCGCCCGTGTTGGTAGGCCTGCCCACAGCGGGACATATCTGTTGTGCGGTTGGTATTCTGCAAGATGCAGGCGGTTCGTCGCAATAATATATTACATTTAATCTTAGTATATAACCTTGTAATATTTTTCTTCATCCAAAATCTTACAATGTATTTTATATTTGCAATCATAATATCCTTTTTAGTGTTGTAAAAAATTAAAGTTATGAGTTTTGTTAATTTGTGAATCGTTTAACAGAGAGTTTATCTCAATAAATTAACATAGACATTTAACCTTTAGCTTAAAGGGCTAGTAATTGTATACGTTTAAGCTTTGGTGTAACAGCCCACTCTTAAATAACTATGATGATTAATCCCAAACGCGTGTTTATATTTTTATCCCTAATTTTAGTCCCTCGATGCCTTTTATTCAGTGTAACCTTGGTAACCGTTTTAGTAAATTTCCTACACAAGGAATAAGCTATATTAACCTATTTCTCATGTTAACCTAGCTAATTTACCTCCCCTCTCCCCGATAAAAAAATTATATCTAACTACAATAATTATACAGTGTGATTGAATAGTCCCGAAACAGTGTAATATATTTTATACTTTTATGGATAAAGGAATGAAACTTGGTTAATCAATTATTGCCATAAATGTGTACTCTTTTAAGCTGTTATTGCTTTTTTATCCATAAGGGGGGTGGCCTACGAGGATTCAGACATTCGTAAATAGCAGCATAGGTCGAATTTGGTATTAAATTAAAGATCTCCGTAGGTAAAACACAATGCCACAGACCCGAACTCAATGGACAGTGGAGTAAAAAATGACAGCTGTTCAAAGATTCCTTGAATTTGGAAGGGATATTATACTGTGGGGCGCCCTCTAGAAGAATATCATTAACTTATGCATAGGTCGATATGCAAATCACAATTATAATACCATGCCCCAAAATTGAGCTCAAATTAACAGCTGGGTAAAAAAATGGCAGCCGTTCTAAGATTCAAAATGGCATATTAAAGAAATATTTTAACGGCTACCATTTTTTGAATACCGGACAATTTTGGACACGGACAATTGGGGACACCTCTTAAAAGCGGACAATTGCGGACACTGACAAGGGTTTGACATGTCTCTAAAAATATATCACTACCGGACAACTGCGGACACACATGTTCTGGAAAGAATTTGATTTCCACCAAAAGAACAGATACATACATGATATATGATTTAAGACTGATTTCCATCACACTTTTCGCACTAAACTAACCTAACCTAACATAAAAAAGATATATTACATCGTTCCCGTACTTTTCAATCACACAGTATAATAATAACATTAATCCCTAGTGTCCGCAATTGTCCGCTTTTAAGAGGTGTCCCCAATTGTCCGTGTCAGCAACTGTCCGGACACCCTTTTTTTACTTGCTTGTCCGTTTGAGTTCGGGTTTGTAATTAAAAAAATATATATATTACACCGTTCCCGGACTTTTCAATCACACTGTATAATAACATGAGATGACTCAGCAGAACTGTCAGCTCTGCCGGTTTGCCTGTTAAATTAAATCCTTTTTAATAATTCATTTCATTTCAGCAGAACTATCCCATGGCTAACCTTTAATTGAGAATTGAACAATCTTTCACACTATAAGTTGAAATCATACCAAGATGTATTTAGTAATTACTTATTAAATTGGAGTTTATCAAACGCATTCGTACTTGGATTTAGATTCTATATTTCATTAGTGAATTTATGAGGCTCACAGCTTTGTCTCATAACAACACATTTTACATTATCAGTGCCTTGAAAATTTACTGACTTTGTAAAATGTGAAAAATTAATGATAAGAAAATATCTTTGAAAAGCCATTTGACGTTTGAGGGTTGTAGTTTAGCAATAGATTTTGCACAATCAGTGTAGTTCTACATCCTTTGGCGGATATGTTTTATGATATTGTAAATCTTTTTTATTTTCAGGTAAGAGAACGGAGTGGGAAGTTCATGACGACTGTGTAAAGTGAGTGTGATTCTTGTGTAATGTGAATAGGTTAAACTGTTTAATACAGAGAACTGTTATATCGAAAAGTGTTGCTTTCCACAAACTGTATATAATTGAAGTTATCGTAGTAGCACATTAAATCAATTACCTGTACCTAACCAACAAATCCTAGAGTAGTCATAAACGAGTTCATACATACACAAGAAAGGATTCCACCCTAAAATAGTACTAAAATACTGTTATCGATTTTCTTCTTCAAGCAAATCCAACTCAATGATTTGTTGCTCAATAATTTTCTAAACAGGTACAACCAGTATTTATTGCTCAACAAACCTGTTTCGTATCGATCGGTCTAGACTCCGGGTCCACAGCACTGTACCGGAAAAACGTGAGGCCCATGACGAAGAGGGGGATGAGCCCAAGACCCAACAGACCCGAGCCACTGACCAAGGAGCCCAGCGAGGGCAGAGCCGGTGGCATAGGCGGCATCCCTCATCACCTTGACTCTACCTGTGGACACATCAGTAACCTGTAGTCAATGATGGTGTATAGCAGCGCCGGTGGCATAGGCGGCATCCCTCATCACCTTGACTCTACCTGTGGACACATCAGCAACCTGTAGTCAATGATGGTGTATAGCAGCGCCGGTGGCATAGGCGGCATCCCTCATCACCTTGACTCTACCTGTGGACACATCAGTAATCTGTAGTCAATGATGGTGTATAGCAGCGCCGGTGGCATAGGCGGCATCCCTCATCACCTTGACTCTACCTGTGGACACATCAGTAATCTGTAGTCAATGATGGTGTATAGCAGCGCCGGTGGCATAGGCGGCATCCCTCATCACCTTGACTCTACCTGTGGACACATCAGCAACCTGTAGTCAATGATGGTGTATAGCAGCGCCGGTGGCATAGGCGGCATCCCTCATCACCTTGACTCTACCTGTGGACACATCAGTAATCTGTAGTCAATGATGGTGTATAGCAGCGCCGGTGGCATAGGCGGCATCCCTCATCACCTTGACTCTACCTGTGGACACATCAGTAATCTGTAGTCAATGATGGTGTATAGCAGCGCCGGTGGCATAGGCGGCATCCCTCATCACCTTGACTCTACCTGTGGACACATCAGTAATCTGTAGTCAATGATGGTGTATAGCAGCGCCGGTGGCATAGGCGGCATCCCTCATCACCTTGACTCTACCTGTGGACACATCAGCAACCTGTAGTCAATGATGGTATATGGCAGAGCTGGTGACTTAGGCGGCATCCCTCATCACCTTGACTCTACCTGTGGACACATCAGCAATCTGTAGTCAATGACGGTATATGGCAGCGCCGGTGGCATAGGCGGCATCCCTCATCACCTTGACTCTACCTGTGGACACATCAGTAATCTGTAGTCAATGATGGTGTATAGCAGCGCCGGTGGCATAGGCGGCATCCCTCATCACCTTGACTCTACCTGTGGACACATCAGCAACCTGTAGTCAATGATGGTGTATAGCAGCGCCGGTGGCATAGGCGGCATCCCTCATCACCTTGACTCTACCTGTGGACACATCAGCAACCTGTAGTCAATGATGGTATATGGCAGCGCCGGTGGCATAGGCGGCATCCCTCATCACCTTGACTCTACCTGTGGACACAGCAACAATCTGTAGTCAATGATGGTATATGGCAGCGCCGGTGGCAAAGGCGGCATCCCTCATCACCTTGACTCTACCTGTGGACACATCAGCAACCTGTAGTCAATGATGGTATATGGCAGCGCCGGTGACATAGGCGGCATCCCTCATCACCTTGACTCTACCTGTGGACACATCAGCAATCTGTAGTCAATGATAGTATATGGCAGCGCCGGTGGCATAGGCGGCATCCCTCATCACCTTGACTCTACCTGTGGACACATCAGCAATCTGTAGTCAATGATGGTATATGGCAGCGCCGGTGGCATAGGCGGCATCCCTCATCACCTTGACTCTACCTGTGGACACATCAGCAACCTGTAGTCAATGATGGTATATGGCAGAGCCGGTGGCATAGGCGGCATCCCTCATCACCTTGACTCTACCTGTGGACACATCAGCAATCTGTAGTCAATGATGGTATATGGCAGCGCCGGTGACATAGGCGGCATCCCTCATCACCTTGACTCTACCTGTGGACACAGCAGTAATCTGTAGTCAATGATGGTATATGGCAGCGCCGGTGGCATAGGCGGCATCCCTCATCACCTTGACTCTACCTGTGGACACATCAGCAATCTGTAGTCAATGATGGTATATGGCAGCACCGGTGGCATAGGCGGCATCCCTCATCACCTTGACTCTACCTGTGGACACATCAGCAACCTGTAGTCAATGATGGTATATGGCAGCGCCGGTGGCATAAGCGGCATCCCTCATCACCTTGACTCTACCTGTGGACACAGCAGCAATCTGTAGTCAATGACGGTGTATAGCAGCGCCGGTGGCATAGGCGGCATCCCTCATCACCTTGACTCTACCTGTGGACACAGCAGCAATCTGTAGTCAATGATGGTGTATAGCAGCGCCGGTGGCATAGGCGGCATCCCTCATCACCTTGACTCTACCTGTGGACACATCAGCAACCTGTAGTCAATGATGGTGTATAGCAGCGCCGGTGGCATAGGCGGCATCCCTCATCACCTTGACTCTACCTGTGGACACAGCAGCAATCTGTAGTCAATGATGGTGTATAGCAGCGCCGGTGGCATAGGCGGCATCCCTCATCACCTTGACTCTACCTGTGGACACATCAGCAACCTGTAGTCAATGAAGGTGTATAGCAGCGCCGGTGCATAGGCGGCATCCCTCATCACCTTGACTCTACCTGTGGACACAACCGTAATCTGTAGTCAATGATGGTATATGGCAGCGCCGGTGGCCTAGGCGGCATCCCTCATCATCTTGACTCTACCTGTGGACACATCAGCAACCCGTAGTCAATGATGATATATGGCAGCGCCGGTGGCATAGGCGGCATCCCTCATCACCTTAACTCTACCTGTGGACACATCAGCAACCTGTAGTCAATGATGGTATATGGCAGCGCCGGTGGCATAGGCGGCATCCCTCATCACCTTGACTCTACCTGTGGACACATCAGCAACCTGTAGTCAATGATGGTATATGGCAGAGCCGGTGGCATAGGCGGCATCCCTCATCACCTTGACTCTACCTGTGGACACATCAGCAATCTGTAGTCAATGATGGTATATGGCAGCGCCGGTGGCATAGGCGGCATCCCTCATCACCTTGACTCTACCTGTGGACACATCAGCAATCTGTAGTCAATGATGGTATATGGCAGAGCCGGTGGCATAGGCGGCATCCCTCATCACCTTGACTCTACCTGTGGACACATCAGCAACCTGTAGTCAATGATGGTATATGGCAGAGCCGGTGGCATAGGCGGCATCCCTCATCACCTTGACTCTACCTGTGGACACATCAGCAACCTGTAGTCAATGATGTTAGATGGCAGCGCCGGTGGCATAGGCGGCATCCCTCATCACCTTGACTCTACCTGTGGACACATCAGTAATCTGTAGTCAATGATGGTAGATGGCAGCGCAGGTGGCATAGGCGGCATCCCTCATCACCTTGACTCTACCTGTGGAGACATCAGCAATCTGTAGTCAATGACGGTATATGGCAGCGCCGGTGGCATAGGCGGCATCCCTCATCACCTTGACTCTACCTGTGGACACAGCAGCAATATGTAGTCAATGATGGTATATGGCAGAGCTGGTGGCATAGGCGGCATCCCTCATCACCTTGACTCTACCTGTGGACACATCAGCAATCTGTAGTCAATGACGGTATATGGCAGCGCCGGTGGCATAGGCGGCATCCCTCATCACCTTGACTCTACCTGTGGACACAACAGTAATCTGTAGTCAATGATGGTAGATGGCAGCGCCGGTGGCATAGGCGGCATCCCTCATCACCTTGACTCTACCTGTGGACACATCAGTAATCTGTAGTCAATGATGGTAGATGGCAGCGCCGGTGGCATAGGCGGCATCCCTCATCACCTTGACTCTACCTGTGGACACATCAGTAATCTGTAGTCAATGATGGTAGATGGCAGCGCCGGTGGCATAGGCGGCATCCCTCATCACCTTGACTCTACCTGTGGACACATCAGCAATCTGTAGTCAATGATGGTATATGGCAGCGCCGGTGGCATAGGCGGCATCCCTCATCACCTTGACTCTACCTGTGGACACATCAGCAATCTGTAGTCAATGACGGTATATGGCAGCGCCGGTGGCATAGGCGGCATCCCTCATCACCTTGACTCTACCTGTGGACACAACCGTAATCTGTAGTCAATGATGGTAGATGGCAGAGCTGGTGGCATAGGCGGCATCCCTCATCACCTTGACTCTACCTGTGGACACAACAGTAATCTGTAGTCAATGATGGTATATGGCAGCGCTGGTGGCATAGGCGGCATCCCTCATCACCTTGACTCTACCTGTGGACACAGCAACAATCTGTAGTCAATGATGGTAGATGGCAGAGCTGGTGGCATAGGCGGCATCCCTCATCACCTTGACTCTACCTGTGGACACATCAGCAACCTGTAGTCAATGATGGTATATGGCAGCGCCGGTGGCATAGTCCGTCCTAATAAGCAAATTATAAAACTTGAAGGTACATTCCATCCACAGAATAATACATATTCAACCTGTATAGAAGTGAAGTGCCCGAGTAGCAACCACAACCAAGGAGAACGGAAGACCATTGCTATGCGGGACGGCAACAGAATTGCAATAGCTTTTATCGGTTTTGTGTTTAGAATCCTACATAATCGCTGTACGAGCCAACAAGGATATGGCGCAGGTGGAATAAAGGTGTTTTCTAGGAGCGGTCTGCATTGTGTATGGCCATTGGTGGAGAATATTCTTGAATTTCGAAAAAAATTGTCCTACCGGAAGAAAATCTTTTTGAAAATAGATTCATCTTAGGCTCAGAACCACTAGTTAGTGGCATTTCACGTGTTTAAAGTTATCGGGTAGAATATTACACGCTGGAATCCAAGACCTCTGGAACATAACTCCTTTATTATAATTTTTATATCACAGTACCAGGGGACCGAGCTATGCTCAGGTAAAATCATTAGTATATCTGAGAGCAGTATTTAGTCAATGTAAATTATCCAAATCTGTAGTCTATCGGTTATCTGAGGTAATCGTCTATTGTAGTTGATACTTGATGAACACAGTAATAAATATTTAAGAGACCCTAAGACCATTTTAACACAAAGAAAGGTAAAGCCTGTAAAAGAGTATTAGGGTGTTTTAGCTATGAAGTATGTCCTAAAGCAAGGCAAAGCCTACCACTTGTGGTATAACAGTGTATTAGCTGTCGAGTGAGTAATTCTGTGTTGAAATGTCTGTTGAGCAATTGTAGTAATTATTTTACTTGAACAGGTAAAGCTTTCTCGCAATCGCAGACCGCTCTCCTAGTTTGA